ACCGTTTCGGTCAAAGACAAGGAGAAAAGTGGCGCTTCTTCTTCTTTGGAAGGTTGCCGACCCCTGTTCTTTGGGCTTGAGAAGACGTCTCTTTGTGAACGATGCAAAGCACCGGCCGACGCGTGAGCCAATCGGCGTGGCGAGAGTTACGCCTTTTTTGTGTTTAGTTTGTTGTTGTGGTCTTTCCCCCGAACCGCCGATTAGCACGGTTGGTTACGTACGGTGCGAAAGAAGTTCTGCATATATACAGGAGGTCAATGAGGCAGTTAAGTCGGTCATTTAAAATGACAATGCTAATTTTGACATCGTCTAAATGAGACCGAATCTCAGTGCCGTACTTTATGCTGTACGGCAGCACGAGGCTAAATTTGTTTTATAAAGAGAGAAATATACTGTGCCATCAGCCACAGGCAGAGGAAAGAAGTGATACAGGTTTTCTTTCTCATGTATTTATTATGGATGTTATTGGTGACGAAAGCCTATACGTGGTACACTGATTGAGTGAAGTCTGAAGGACTTGGAAGAGGGTCGGGGAGTCTACGGCATGGATGGCGGGCGGATGGGAGTTCCAGACTCTGAAACTTTTTATTTTACCAGCTAAGTCCCACTGAGCTATGTAGCTCTTTTTCAGAAGCAACCTGGCCACGAATGATACCCCAATGAAGTGAGTTAGCATGCGAAAATGTATGGCAGCCAAATACTCTAAACGCGTGATGTTGATTCTAAATGTGGAGGGAATAAAACCCGGAGGACCCGGAGAAAAATCCACGCGACCACGGGGAGAGAGACATCGCAAACTCCAAATATACAGCAGCAGCAGGCGTCATCAGGGTCGAGATCGAACCCACGACCTCCTGTATACCAGGCGAGGTAGTTAACATCTCCTAGCCACCGTGACGATGATGAGAGAGAGACACGCAAACTCCAAATATACAGCAGCAGCAGGCGTCAGGGTCGGGATCGAATCCACGACCTCCTGTATACCAGGCGAGGTAGTTAACATCTAGTCACCGCGGCCACCCAGACAATGGGTGTTGAGGAGGCGAATGAGAGACTGAGCGGAAGGTTGACCGGGGCAGAGGAGGGAACTGGGGGGTAGGGAGAAGGGGGTAGCGCTCTCGCTTGCTCTTCCTTCACTCCTCCTCCCAGGTTCCCCCATTCCAGATCCCACAGTCCCACTGCTGGTTCTGGGCAAATAATGCATGCACCTAGCCTTGCACAAGTACCGCAGCTAACATCGCCGCCACTTGGCGAATGGTAGATGTGGGTTGTGTGTGTTGTGTATGTTATTGCGTGTGTATTGTTTGTGTATATGCTGTTTATGCGTGTTGTGTATTGTGGGGAGCGGTAGTGAATCGGTTAGCGGGCTGCGCTATGAACCCGGCGACCCGGGTTCGATTCCTGCTCACGGCCAACACCAGTGACGATTATCTGAACCGGTCCTGGGCCTCCCCTAGGTCGACTCAGCCTCAAATGAGTACCTGGTGCGGTGTGTAAACATCGCCACTGGGAAGACAAAGGCGGTCGGGCGTGGTGCTGGCCACCCACTCCTCGTGTACCGTTCCGGCCTTCATAGGTGCTCGCTAACAGCACTTGCCCCTACAGTCTGTTAGGCTATACGGGGGATCTTTGTCTTTGTATTGTTGGTGTATATGCTGTTTATGCGTGTTGTGTATGTGTGGATTGTGTATGTGTGTGTATTTGTGCATGCAAGAGGTTGCGAAATTGCACAGCGCACCGCGCAATGAAACCCAGCCGTCTTGAGTTCGATTCCCAGCGACGGCTAAAATCAGTGGCGAGTGATGTGCCTCTGGGGCCTCTTGTGGATCGACTCGACCTTAAATGTATATATCAGCTGTGATGTGTAAATATTAGCACGTCCGGTAGTGGGGCTGACCGCACGATACCCGTCACGCGTCGTGGTTTGCCTTAATAGGTGCTCGCTAACAGCACTTACACTCGCGTTCTGTGGACCACAAGGAGGATCCTTGCCTTTTGATGCATGCTTACGTGTTTATGTATGCTTGTTAATGCGTGTCGACGTACGGCGTTCGTTGTATGTACGACATGTTTGTATGTACGTACGCATGTCGTTTTTTTTATGTACGTGTATGTGATTGCGTTTGTGCGCATGTTTGTGCTTTTGTAAATGTTCGATTCCCGATCCCGACAAACACCACCAGTGACGATTATCTGAAGCGGTCCCTGTGCCTCCCCTAGGTCGACTCAGTCTCAAATGAACACCTGGGGCGACGTGTAACCATCGCCACTGGGGAGACAAAGGCGGTCGGGCGTGGTAGTGCAGGCCACCCCAGGCCTCTCGTGCGCCGTGCCGGGCCTTCAATGGTGCTCGCCCAACAGCGCTTGCCCCAACGGGTCTGTTCGAGGCTACACGGGGCGGGGGGTCTTTGCCTTCGCGTGGTTTGCGTGAACGTGTAAATTATATCAAGACAGAGGTCCCTCGCCTCTAAAAGGCGCCACGTGCCCCCCCACCCAACCTATAAAACATCTGAGCGCCTCTGTCGTGCCCGCTCACTAATTGCCGCCGCTGACAGCGGGAGGCGATGTTGGGAAATTGAATTTGGAGGCGCAGACAGGAGAGAGGAGTTAGCGAGGCGGTGGGTAGCGTGGCGTGGGGAGGGGGGGAGCCCCAGGGTTAATTAATCACCATGGAAACCGACATCCACAATTTATCGTCCACACGGACGCCGCTCAGATTGACCGTTCCGCTTCAAGCGCAATGCGGTAGAGTGGCCGCTGCAGATCAAGAAGACGACTCTCGCTGTCCCATGTTCCTCGCTGGCGTTGGCCCTGAGCCGGGAATCGAACTCGGGGTAAGCCGGGTTCGTAAAGCAACGCGCTAAGCACTGCGCCACCGCTCCCCACAACAAACAAACAACAACGACCGCCACACGCCACCAAGTGGCGGTGACGTCACCACGGCGCCTGTGCCAGGCTAGGTGCACGTTGAGGCCACGTGAAGTGTCGAACGCCCGCTGGCAGGAGGTCAAGGGGCAGACTCAGGTGCCGTGGTCGACTGAGATGCCTGGAAGATGCACCACCTGTGCCCCCTACTGTGCCAACTCGCTGTGTTTTAGCCACACGGCGCTCCATAACAAACACAGCACACACACAACACACAGACAACACAGAAAACAACAACACACCCACACGCCATCGTCTCCTTATCAATCTTCTTTCGCCACTACTCGTAAATTCCCCCAACACAAGTCTATAAGGGAGATCTTTGCCGCATTGTCGTGTATGTGTGCGTACTGTGTGTATATTGTGTATATTGTGTGTATGTATTGTGTGTATTGTGTGTGTATGTATTGTGTGTGTGTATTGTGTGTATGTATTGTGTGTATTGTGTGTATGTATTGTGTGCATTGTGTGTGTATTGTGTATGTATTGTGTGTGTATTGTGTATGTATTCTGTGTATTGTATGTGTGTGTATTGTGTGTATGTATTGTGTGTTTTGTGTGTATGTATTGTGTGTATTGTGTATATGTATTGTGTGTATTGTGTGTATTGGGTGTATTGGGTGTATTGTGTGTATGTATTGTGTGCATTGTGTGTATGTATTGTGTGCATTGTGTGTATTGTGTATGTATTGTGTGTATGTATTGTGTGTATGTATTGTATATTGTGTGTATTGTGTGTATTGTGTGTATGTATTGTGTGTATTGTGTGTGTATGTATTGTAAGTATTGTGTGTGTATGTATTGTAAGTATTGTGTGTTTGTGTGTGTATTATGTGTGTGTATGTGTGTGTCAGTGTGTGTGTGGGGAATGATAGTGTAGCGGTTAGTGCGCTGCACTATGAACCTGGCGACCTCGATTCCCGCTCACGGCCAACACCAGTGACGATTATCTGAACCGGTCCCGGGCCTCCCCTAGGTCGGCTCAGCCTCAAATGAGTACCCGGTGTGCTGTTTAAACATCGCCACTGGGGAGACAAAGGCGGTCGGGCGCGGTGCTGGCCACCCACCCCTCGTGTACCGTTACGGCCTTCATAGGTGCTCGCTAACAGCACTTGCCCCTACAGTCTGTTAAGGCTATATGGGGGATATTTGTGTATTGTGTCAATTGTGAATGTGTGTATGTATGTCTTTGTACGGTCATTCAGCCCGCATGCCCAGCCACCGCATGCCTTAACAGCTTTTGTTCGGCCGGATCGAGGGGGCTAAACGGGCGCGGCACGGACTAGAGAAGAGATGGAGTGATGTGGTATAGGAGGATGTGGAGCTGAGTGGACTTGCCGATGACTGGTACCAGCGGTGTCAAGATCGGCCTCTGTGGAGGAGGCTCGTGAAGGACGCTGCTACTGCTACTGTGCAGTTGGAGGCAGTCGCCCTCCAGCAATAACAACGGAGGGCAGAGGAGCGACGCTCACAACAACGAGCGGAGCGCCGGGCGGTTAAATCACAGCAAGTTGGCACAGTAGGTGTATCGGCCAGTCATCTCGGTCAGTCGACCCATGGAACCTGGGTATGCCCCGTGACCTCCTGCCGGCGGGCGTTCGACACTTCACATGGCCTCAGGGTGCACATAGCCTGGCACAAGCGCCATTGTGACGTCACCGCCACTTAGTGGCGAATGGCGGTTGTATGTAGGTGTGTGTGGTGGGGAGCGGTAGTGTAGCGGTTAGCGCTCTGCGCTACAAACCCAGCGACCCGAGTTCGATTCCCGCTCACGGTCAACACCAGTGACGATTATCTGAACCGGTCCTGGGCCTCCCCTAGGTCGGCTCAGCCTCAAATGAGTACCCGGTGCGGTGTTTAAACATCGCCACTGGGGAGACAAAGGCGGTCGGGCGTGGTGCTGGCCACCCACCCCCTCGTGTACTGTTCCGGCCTTCATAGGTGCTCGCTAACAGAACTTGCCCCTACAGTCTGTTAAGACTATACGGGGGATATTAATCTTTGTGTATGTGTGTGTGCATTGTGACCGCACGCGTGCGTGACTTGGTGTAAAATGAGTCTCAAAGGACACGGGGAAGATTTGCATCTTCTACTCACTACAGCCTTTTTATTTGTATATTTTTTTGTGTTATTTTTTGTTACAAACGCTACTTTTAATCTTTATTTTTTTTTCTGCTCAGACGAGCAACACCTCTCTACTGACCCACGGAGAGCCGACGTGAAGCCATCGGCTGCTAGACCCCATCCCTGCCCCTCTCGACGCCACGATCCGCCCGCCCCTCCGCATTGAAGCGACGAAAGTCCCCGCGCACTGACGCCCGTGCACATCCCGCCAGAAATCTGCCTGCAGGAGGAACCCCGGGCGACTTGCCAGCCTACAACTTTGTTTGTGTCTTGTGCCCGCAGATTTTGTGCTTTTGTTTGTGTTTGTGGTTTTTTTCTCTCTCTCTCTCCGTCGTTCACCCGCCCGACGACCGCGCAGCGAGAGTTGCAGCGCAGCTTCGCATCTTCGTTGTGCAACAACGCTCATTCGTCGACTTTCGTCCGTGTGTCCGACTGGTTTCTTTGTGTTTTGTTTAAACGAAACCTCGCCGCGAGTTTTGTTATCGCCAAAGACGACGACGTCGACGTTTGTTCGGGTCAAGGCGTTCGTAAAGCGCTCCCCCCCCCACCCCCCACAGGTTCGTCTCATCTTCACACAGCACAAACGGACCGCTCGTGAATCACGCCCATTGCGGTTTGTCTTTTTTGGCGAATGCGAATTGGGCGAAACGAAGTAAACTTTAAATACCCCCTCCACTCCCCCACACATACACATACACACATATACACACATACACACACACACATACACACACACACCCACCCATCCACGCCGCGCCCACCCCTCCTTCATTCCAGGTAATGCTGTGCTCCTCACCCACAAGGCATTTATTGTCTCGTCAGGTCTAGCACACCCCCACCCCCGTGCCGAATACATTTAGCCACCGATTCGTCCAACCTACTTGCTGGACATCCATCTCCTGGGCAAAATATAAAGAGGCGCACGTTACACCGTGGTCTTTGCATGATCCACCAACCCCCTAGCCCCCGTCACTGCGCCGCTCGAGTCACGGGCCACGCACCGCCGCTGTCACCGCCGCCGGCAATAAATTATCCGCTTAATTCGCGCGTCAATTGAAGCCACGAATTGCCTCTCGCCCGTGTAAATCTCCCCGCGCGAACAGAGCGACTCCACGTTAATTGATAAATAAATAAACAGGGGGTGGGGGCGGTGGGGGCGGTGGGTGGTGGGGGGGTGGACGAAGCGGGTCAACTCGTCGCTGCGTCGTGAACCCGGCGACCCGAGTTTGATTCTCGACGCGCGTTCCTGCAAGCGCAATCATCTATTTTAATCGATGCAATCGATGTTGCATGCCGCAACCCCCCCCCCCCCCCCCCACCAAAGCCTCTTAGGACAGGAGTGGCAGCGGCACAGCAACTGGGTTCTTTGTGAACCTGTTTGTGTGCACCTGTGAGTGCTGTCCCCATGCACATTGCAGGCTTCCTCCCACTGGCAATTGAACCAACATCCCCAACTGTTGCAGGATCCTCCCGAAAAGATGTCTTGAGATTCAGCGAGGATTGGAACGCTCTTTCGTTCCATTATAATCGGAAGCCACTGGAGCTGTGCACTTTTAAATAATCTCGATTGAAAAGCCATTTCTTTAGAGCTGATTTTTTTTGTGTTTAGTGTTGCTGTCCCCCCCCCCCCTCCATCTCCGATTAGCACGGTTGGCTACGTACGGTGCGAAAGAAGTTCCCCTGGATAAATCAATGTTATTATTGTGCACCCACCGACCTCCCTCCCAAACTCCTGTCTCCTGCTGCCTGAAGATTAAAAACAAAAATGGCATTGGTGTTTAAGCACAAATGAAAGAGGACATTTTAAACAACTTGAGCAATGTCCCATCTCCATGGCAGCCAGGTCACAGAGGTCGACTCCCATTCAAGCCGGCTCCTCACCTACGGTTGAGCAACTTGGTTGCAATGCATGCAACTGGATTGCTTGTGCGAGGACGTTTCGGCAACCAGTTGCAACCGGTCGCTCAACCGGTTGCCTTCAAGCCTCGATCTGCTCGGCGATGTTTTTAGCGGCGTATTTAATCACGTGCCATGCGTTGGCGAGCCACTGTGATTGGTGGTTACAATCCTGAACGTGCCATTTTACCTTTGTTCTTACCCCGCACCCTCGATTCGCACGGTTGGTGACGTACGGTGAGAAAGAAGATCAACATGCATACGTGCAACTTCCTCAATGCGCAACTGCTCTCCCCGATGTGGACAAAGGAGTCGCGGGCGATTATTACAGTTGCACGCTTTCTGGAGAGATTCTGATTGGCACGACTGATCACTTGGATCCGGACCCGGCGTTAAAGATCGCACCTCACACACCGTGGTGTCTTGAGAGATGTCGCCAGAAAGTTGATGATTTTCAATTGGCATGAGAACAGGTAGGCAGTCCCTTGGTGCAACAATTGAGCGAGTACAGCAAACCCTTCTGAACGGGTCATGCGTGCCCCTTTCCACGAATCGGCACTGACCAGCGTGCTGAACTACGGTCAATCGATCCACCGCTACCGACATGGTGCGGAGTGGCGCCCGTTCTCAATGCACAATATTGGGGAATTGAGAACGGCCGGAGGTTTCTGTGGTATCATAACTGAGGCTGCTGAGGTGCATTATGGGAGACGGACGACATCACCTGGAACTTGTCGAGGAGCGCCACTGTTACGTTTAGGCAATGTCACGTGATGAAGAAGCCGCCGCTCGACGCATGAGCTCAGGAGAGCTCAGATGAGCTCACGTGTTCAGGTGAGTTCAGGTAAGATCAGTTCAGTCAGCCCAGGTGAGGTCAGCATCACTGGGATGAACCCAGGTTCACTCAGGTGACCTCACGTGATCTCAGGTGATCTTAGGTGAACTCCAGTGATCTCAGCTCAAGCCAAACTTCACTCACGTGAGCACAGATTCGCTCACGCTCACAGGGTGACTCGTGCTCACAGGTGAACAGAGGCTCACTCGTGCTCACAGGTGAGCAGAGGATCACTCGTGCGCTCACCCGGGTGAGTTCAGGCTCACTCGTGCGCTCACCCGGGTGAGTTCAGGCTCACTCGTGCGCTCACCCGGGTAAGTTCAGGCTCACTCGTGATCTCACCCGGGTGAGTTCAGGCTCACTCGTGATCTCACCCGGGTGAGTTCAGGCTCACTCGTGCGCTCACCCGGGTGAGTTCAGGCTCACTCGTGATCTCACCCGGGTGAGTTCAGGCTCACTCGTGATCTCACCCGGGTGAGTTCAGGCTCACTCGTGATCTCACCCGAGTCAGGTTCACTCAAGCAATCACACAGGTTCAGCAGGTGGGGGCGGGGGGGAGTGGGGGGGGGGGGGCGGAGGCTCAGGTGCGCTCCACGTAGTTGGCGGGCAGCATGCCGGTGGCTCCGGTGCGTGCCACCGTGCCGTAGAGCCAGCCGTCGTCGATCCGCTGCACGTTACAGAAGAGCTCCCCCTCGGCGAAGCTCAGCTCGTCCTCGTCCGCAGCCACGTAGTCGTAGAGCGCGCGGAACGTGCCCTGTTTGGGGGGCACGGTGGGGGGGGCACGGTGGGGGGGGGGGCGGGGGGGTCACAAGATAATTCAGCAGTGGCTACTGTCGCGTTAGCGAGGACATCTGTGATAAAGAGCTTAATAGCTCACTGGATTCCTCCGGTATAAATACATATTCTGATTCTGCATTGTCTGTGTCGGGTGGTGGAGGGTGTACGACAACACACGTTTTGTTTGACACGTAGTAGGCTTTCGCGACCAATATCCACAAGACGTTTGTTGGGGGTTGGATCGCGTAAATCTAAATGTGGCGGCGGGTTTAACGACACATTGAGATCTACACGATCTAACCCCAAAGAGACCTGTATTATGGACACACCTTTTACTCACGTGATGCCTTCAACTAAGAGTCTGCTGGGTGTTTGAACATCTTAACGCCCGTGTGATTGCCAGCAATGGATAAAAGCCTTTTATTATTTTTTGTTAAACGATTCCGACGCTCTCTGCCTCGGTTGGCCGTAGGAGCGCGCCGAGTTCTCCCGATCGAACTGGCTCGCGAGCGGCGCCGTCAACACTCACGTCCACCGGGGGGCGGTGGTGGAGCGGGTGGGGGGCCGTCATGGGGGGTAGCGTTCCCTGTTGGGGGGCCACGCTTGTCTGTCTCGCCTGACCGCCCCCCACGGCCGCCTTCCCCAGCTGGGGGTAGCCTGCAAAAGACAAAGACAAAGGTTCAACCCGCCCATGTAGCCTTAACAGACTGTTGGGGCAAGTGTTGTTAGCGAGCAGCACGTATGAAGGCCGGCACGCCACACGAGGGGGTAATCTGCACACACACAAAAGAAAAAGATCCCCCGTATAGCCTGGACAGACTGTTAAGAAAAGTGCTGTTAGCGAGCACCTATGAAGGCCGGCATGGCAAACTTGGAGGTGGGTGGCCAACACCACGCCCGACCGTCTTTGTCTCCCCAGTGGTGATGTTTCCACGCCACACCAGGTACACGTTTGAGGCTGGCACAGCGACAACAGCCGCCACTGGGGGGGGGGTATTTTGGCTAGACCGCAGCAGGGCACTGCAACGTTAGGGATGTGATGCAAAAGGGAGGTCGAGTTTCTGCGGCATTCGGACAATCGCGCTATGAATGTCGATCTCGGCCCCCCCCCACGTCCCCCCACCACCCCCCTCACCGGCGTGGCGACCCCCGGGGATGGCACGGCCCCCCGCGGGGCGGTCAGGCGCGGCGGCCCCCACTGACACCCCCCCCGCGTCCTGGTACTTCACCTGTACGGTGGGGGGGGGGGGGGGTAAGGGAGTGTGCGGTCAGGGGGAGAGGGAGAAGAGAGAGGAGTGAGGGTGGTTAGGTGGAGAGAGAGAGAGGGGCGGAGAGATGGGGCTAGGTATAAGGTGAAAGGTAGGCGTTGGTGGGTAGGGTCAGAGAAATGAAGGAGTCAGGAGAGAGGGAGAGATGGGTCAAGGAGGGAGGGAGGGGAGGGGAGGGAGGGAGGGAGACAGGGAGGGAGGGAGGGATGAGAGGCAGATGAGAGGTCAGGAAGAGGATAAGACAGGAGATGGGTTCGGAAAAGGCAGCGGGAGAGGAAGGGAAGGAAGGGGAGGAAGGGGAGTAAGTTCAGGAAGAGAGATCAGGAAGTGCATCCCGCACCTCCGATTAGCACCGTTGGCTACATACGATTTCGAAATAAGTTCAACATACGCACACATGGGAAAGAGAGAGATGGGGGTCGCCAATTGTGCATAGGAGACACGTGATATGATCTCAGTGGATTATCACGTGGTTCTCAGGGTGAATCGTCCAGCAGGTGATCGATGGATACAAGTCTCCATTGCCCGGTCGAGGGTGTGAGCAGGGCAGGACAAGGCCACACAGCGGCAGGAGAGTGCCGAGCAAGAGGGCAACACATGCCAGGGCAAGGCTAGGAAGGTGAGCGCACATCAAATTTAAGGTAGCGTAGGGCAGCGCGCAGAGCTAGTTAGGGCAAGGTTAGGGCAGTTGGGAGCAGTTGAGGGCAGGGCAGACCCACGTTGCTTATCTGCTCCTGCGCCTTCTTCATGCGCCGCAGCTCGGGAGTGTCTGGCACGAGGCTGAACGCCTTTCCCCGGCTCTTCTCGAAGTCCTCCTTGTATTTCACCTGCAGAGGGACACGTGGCATTTAAACACGTGGCATTTAAACACGTGGCGACCACGTGTTCAAAAGCGATCAAACGTCCTGATTTGGACCGGGGGCCGTACCAGCTTCGGATTGGACGTCCGTCCCGGGTATCGCGAAATAGTTGGCCCTGATTTATTTTTTTAATCTGGCCTCATAGAGGCTGGGGCCATCGTGAAAGGGAAAAGCGAGGCCACTCACGGGTGTGGGGGGCGGTGGTGAAAGGGGGGGGGGCTGTCGGGGAGAGGGGTCACAGCTCAACACGTGTGCCGGTTGAACCTCCCAGAAATGTGTGGTGTCGTTTAGTTTTAATCATACGGTGGTATGCACGAGAGAGTGGACGGGCGGGTAAGCCAGCCACCTGAACCAGTGACAGTCCTGTGATCGTGAAACGTGCGTATTACAGCAGCTGTTTGTTAAACAGGAGCACAAACCGTGGTCTGGATTTGATTTTAAACTGTAATTTTTATTTTATTTTACCAGGTAAGGCTCCACTGAGCTAGAAGCCAGCTGGCCACAAATGACAGCTGAAAGCCGTGGCTTATTGCGTGCAAGTTTATAGGAGCCAAATACTCTAAACGCGTGATGTTGATTCTAAATGTGAAAGGGAAAACCGGAGGACCCGGAGAAAAATCCACGCGACCACGAAGAGAGAGACACCACAAACTCCAAATAGACAGCAGGCGTCAGGATCGGACCCACGACCTCCTGTATACCAGGCGAGGGAGATAACATCTCGCCATGTTGGCGCGGCCTGTTAAATAATCACGGCTGGGTTGTTTTGGTGCTATATACAGCAACAGTGTCGACATTAATGACCACTTGTCCCAGTAAACATGTGTCGGGGTGTTAATCAGCACTCCCCATCCTGTTGGCTGGTAGCTCCCCCTTCTCGTCAACAGGGGGCGGAAGCGATACCACGCCAGTGTTAGTGACCATAGCCTAAAGGGGTCAGCGACGATCCCTGAGAAGCGGATCCTGGGACACATTCCACGGACCCCGGGAGGGGGGACCGGGGGATGATGTCACCTTCCAGAAAGTTCTGGAAGGGAGGCGTGGCTAGGGCGGAGCAAGCCACGAGCCAGCCGGACCTCTCAAGGGTCTGGCTGAGTCATCTCCAAGCCGAAGACTGAAGACCTGGCCTGAAGTTAGGACCCTGGACCCCAAGCTCCGCCGTCGATCTAAGGGCCGGAGCTGAGTGAGGCCAGTGGTCAGAATCCGAAGACCCTGGCACGGTCGGGTCAGCGTAGCCTCCCCTAGGGCCACAGCCGGAGGACGGAAAGTTAACGGGGTTCCCAGTGCTAGGGCCCGTGTAGTCCGGAGGCCATACCTCCCCAGGTATCGGGTAAAGGGGCCGCTACCCCTTTGTGTTAGGGACCTTGTATAATAGAAACCTAATAAACATCGTGTTGCCTCACGAGAAGGTCTCCATCAATTATTACCCACTACACATGTAACGTTGGGCAGACGTCAACCAAACGTAAACCAACGTTTGCATGTTTACCGCGTTTTTTTTGCCAGATTATGAACGCGAATGTATATGTATTATACTCTTTGGTTCTATTCGGTAAAGTCACGTAAAAGTATAAAACAACAAAAAATGTAAAATAAAAAAAATACAAAATTCACGACGTTTCGGCCACAACACAAGTGGCCTTCATCAGGTGAAGGGACCAGACTGTCTCGAGGACAGCGCTGACTTCACCGAATAGAACCAAAGAGTATGGATCCTTGCAGTCACGAAAGCTTCAAATCTAGAATATATTATTATTGTTTTTGTTTTTGAGTGAGCCACGGTGAGGAGTCAGCACCGTGCGAGTGACCTGGCTCTGTAGTTCGCTCTGCTGCTTGAGTCTCAGGTTCTCGGGGGTGTCCGCCACCGTGGTGAACGTCTGTTTGGGGTAGTGCCTGCACCGCATCAACACATCGTCGTCACCGTCGTCAACAACATCAACAACATCATTGTCGTCATCAACTACATCAACAGCAACATCATCGTCATCAACAACATCATCGTCGTCATCAACAACAACAGCAACATCATCGTCGTCATCAACAACATCAACAGCAACATCATCGTCATCAACAACATCATCGTCGTCATCAACAACAACAGCAACATCATCGTTGTCATCAACAACATCATCGTCATCAACAACATCATCATCAACAACATCAGCAACATCATCAGCAACATCGTCACGATGATGATCATGCTGCTGATTAGTGCTTGGCACAAATGAACCACAAAACCTCGCTCATCTCTGTCAAGGAGCACAAACCACCATCACGCGACACTCCGCTCACCCCCCTCGCAGCGGCAGCAGCGGCGGCGGCTTCTGGCTCAGCCGTCGGACAAAGACGGCGGTCACCGAATCGTCGCGGGGCGCTTTCAGATAACGCTGCTTCTGCGGCCGTCTGGAACGCGCTCTTGCCTTCCGATATTGGGAAGCCATTGGAGTTATGCAACTTTTAAATCATCAACCACCAGCACCAACCAAATATGTCAATTCTCACACTTTAAAAATCCCGTACCACCCGCTCTGTGCGTCCTAGAGCCCGTGCCCGTGCCATCAATGTGATTACATCGCCACTGTGAAGAGGGGGGGGGGCGAGTGGGGGGGGGGGCATCCCAGGTCCGGGTTTAGAGAGCAACCGCGTCACAGAGGTTCAGCCGTCGTCGGGAAGTCCGACTGGGGTCGCCGGGTTCACGGCGCAGCGCCGCTGTGTCACCACTCCACGCCCCTCCGCCCCCCTCCGCCCCCCACCGCCCCCCCACCGCCCCCCACCGTCCACCGCCTCACAATTAACGTGGAGTCGCTCTGTTCGCGGGGAGATTTACACGGGCGAGAGGCAATTCGTGGCTTCAATTGACGCGCGAATTAAGCGGATAATTTATTGCCGGCGGCGGTGACAGCGGCGGTGCGTGGCCCGTGACTCGAGCGGCGCTGTGACGGGGGCTAGGGGGTTGGTGGATCATGCAAAGAACACGGTGTAACGTGCGACTCCTAAGAGGTGGCCAGAAGATGGATGTACAGCAAGTAGGTTGGACGAAGAGGTGCCTACATGTATTTGGCACGGGGTGGGTCTGCGAGACGTGAAGAGACAATGTATGCCTTTTGTGTTGAGGAACGTACAGCAAGTAGGTATTTAAAAATACATGCCAACAACGACTGCGCATTGCCACCAAGTGGCAGTGAGATCACCACAGTGCTTGTGCCAGGCTAGGAGTCCACCTAGGGGAGGCCCAGGACCGGTTCAGATATTCGTCACTGAGTGTTGGCCGTGAGCGGGAATCAAACCCTGGTCGACAGATTCATAGCGCAGCGCGCTAACCGCTACACCACCGCTCCCCACTCACTCACCCGCACGCACGTGCGCACCTACACACGGCAAAAATTGCGCACCCTGAAATGTAACAACGCAGCCAGAGCGCGCGCCCCCTCCTCCCTGGTTACCGGTTACCAAGCAGACGGCACCGATAACGCGCGCCACGTGCCGCGTGCCAGGTGGGCGGTGATAGCAGCTACAGCGCAGAGGGGTTTCCTCCTGAACTAAATACGCCACTAATTGATTACCGATATGGGGGTTGACAAAGAGCCGCGTGCGCGTGGTTTTTTTGTTTGGTGTTCAAATCCCCGGCAAAGTCGGCGGTGAGCCGCATTTCGTTGGGTCCTTCTGGACCCAACGAAATGCGGCGCGACGGAATACGACGAGAGGAGGCGACAGGCGCCCGCTGATAACGAACACGCGCCACATTGTAAACATCGCCACTGGGGAGACAAAGGCGGCCGGGCGTGGGGTTGGGCACCCACCTCCTCGTGGGGCCGTGCCGGACTTTATAGATGCTGTTCGCTAACAGCACTTGCCCCGACAGTCTGTTGCAGGCTATATGGGGCGGGGGGACCTTCGTTTTTATTCGAGTCAGGCAGGGCTGGTTCAGACATCACTCCCCGATAATGTCGGCAGTAGTGGCCGGGAATCGAACCCAGGTCGGGAATCAAACTCGACCTACAACAACAACCGCCATTTACCACTAAGTTGCGGTGACGTCAACACGGCGCCTGTGCCAGCCTGAGTGCACTTTGAGGCCAAGTGAAGTGTTGAAGGCCTGCTGGCAGGTCACGGGACAGACCCAGGTGCCATAGGTTGGCTGACTGAGATGACGCCTGGCAGATACACCAGCTGTGCCTCCTACTGTGCCAACTTGCTGCGTTTAGTATGTGTAATGACAGTAGAGTCTACCTGCGGTGTGAGTGGACTAGTGGCCACGGGAGGTAATGACAGGGGAGTCAGCTTGCAGTGTGAATGGACTAGTGGCCACGGTAGTTAATGACAAGGGAGTCAGCCTGCAGTGCGAATGTACTAGTGGCCATGGAAGGAGCGTGGTCTGCTGGTGGAGTGAGCGTCCAGAGCCAGCGAGCAGGTTCGGGAATGGGGGCCCGGAAATAAGAGAGACGCGCGGGAGACTCGAGGCAGTTGCAGTGGGGGTCTCCGCCCGTTCGAGTCAATGCGTCCCGTCAATATAGAAACCACCTCGAGACAAGTGCATCGAAGTCGTCATTATATATGTGCGCGCGTTTAAATTCTTTCGCGGCCGTACGTAGCCAACCGTGCTAATCGGTTGGCCACTGCGCGACACCGCACACACATACATAGCCGGCGACAGGTTGCCGAGGACAGCACAGCATTCTGTGGGTCCTCAACAGCGTCAGAGCTCACTATGTGATTCCATATCCGGAACTCAACGCGACCGCCAACGGCGACCATGCTCAAAACCAGCGGCGCAACGGCGCTATGGGATTTGCAATATTCCCCACGACCGGGGAGCCAGGCAGACCTCTGCAAGGGACTGCCACGGTGTTCATTTGAAACACGAAGCGGTGCACCGGACACGTCACCCGTTCTCCCGGGTGGACTCACGTCCAGGGGTTTACCCCAGGGCGTGAGTCCACCCCTGGCGAGCTTGTCATTTGCTCCACACTGAGCGGTCTTTGTCGTGCGGTGGGCGTCAGTGGGCCACGCGAATAATAAATAAATGCACACGTGCATGTATTGACATTCACATGCATTGACATTTTCTTGTGTATCCGGTGCTCGTAAGTGTGCACAAGTCACGTGTAAAAGCATTCGCTGAGCAAATGAGAGAGCCGCAGCAGCAGCAGAGGACAACGGTTGACCAAGTCGGATTGGCAATTGACAGGGCCTGGCAATCGGATTTGTGTGCCCCGGGCCGGATCAAACACACTAAGAGAGACGTGGATCATCATCATTTCACACAATCGCAGAATGCATAAGGAACCCCTCGGGTGTGATATCACAAACTTTCCAACTGTGGCTCAAGCGCCCCGAAAAGCACGCACTCGCACACACACACGCAACAACAACAACCGCCATTCACCACTAAGTGGCGGTGACGTCACCACGACGCTTGTGCCAGGCCATGTGCACCTTGAGGCCACATGAAGTGTCGAACGCCCGTTGGCAGGAGGTCATGGGGCAGACCCAGGTGCCACGGGTCGACTGACTGAGATGACCGGCTGATGCACCACCTGTGCCCCCTACTGTGCCAACTTGCTGTGCTTTAGCCACCAGGCGATCCGCTCGTTGTTGTGAGCGTCGCTCCTCCACCCTCCGTTGTTGTTGGAGGGCGACTACCTCCAACTTCCCAGTAGCATCCTTCACGAGCCCCCTCCACTGAGGCCGATCTTGACACCACTGGTACCAGTCATCGGCAAGTTCACTCAGCTATACGTCCTCCTGTACCACATCACTCCATCTCTTCTCTAGCCCATGCCGCGCCCGTTTAGCCCCCTCAATCCGGCCGAACAAAAGCTGTTTAGGCATGCGGTGGCTGGGCATGCGGGCTACATGACCCAGCCAACGCAGCCTTGCCTGCCTAAGGAGCTCACCGATGGGACTTTGCCCAGATCTTTCAAGGATTTGTGAGCTCCTCGCACAATCCAGCCTGGTTAAACCCAGGATGGATAATAGGCAGGCCAGCCTAAATGTTTCTAACCGGCGAAGATGCTCCATTAAGGGGGTCCACGTTTCGCAAGCATAGAGAAGGAGGGCGGAGCGACAGACCAGGTAGCTTCGACACAGTGTTACGCAACCAATGAAAATATATTTCCGCTCGACTGATTCGGAGTGGGACCTCTGCTGTTAAACCGGAGCCGGTCATGAGCACACTGCCCAGCTATGGGAAACTCTCCACTCTCTCCACAACTGCCCTATCACCGATTGGAAGTTGTGGGGGTGGAGTTTGCGATGGTACAAAATACCCAGGCAGGTGCTTAGTTTTGGTGCGGCTGATGGCAAGGCCCCACCTCTTAGTGGCACGCTGCAGTTTCAGCAGCAGCGCCTCCAACTCCTCCTTTGAATGAGCAGCAATTACCAAATCATCGGCATACATAACGTGGTTGACCAATAGGGAGCCATCCCTTGACCGCACCCGGGCATCAATCAGCCTCCCATTATATCTGTACCAAATGGAAATTTCCCCAGTACAGCTATTGAAGGCTTCACGAACTACGTGGTCAAAATAGATGTTAAATAATGTGGGAGCCAGAGGACATCCCTGTCACACCCCAAGGTGCACAGGGAATGGCTCTGACTCCCGGCCACGTAGTTTTACCCGGGCCCGCTCACCACCATGAAGGTCCTTAATGATCGTGAGCAGAGGGTCAGGGACTCCGAAAGCACGAATAACAACCCAGAGCCCAGGCCTACTGATGGCATCATAGGCCTTGACCAGGTCAACAAAGCAGAGATGTCGGTCTTGTTGGAATTCCCCACACCTGTGCTGTAGCAGACGGACAGAAAATATGGCATTTGTGCAGGACCGCCCTTTCCTGAAACCGCATTGGGGCTCCGCAAGCCTCTCCTCAGCGTGCCTAGCAAGGCGA